ACCAGAGGTGGTATTCGTCGGTTCGGGCCGGTTTGCCTGAACTGGTAGCAGAAATCATGAGTGGCCCTGCCCACCTGTCCCAGCTCTATGCCATCTTATTTAGGCACGCTTTTTGGGCCGGGCACATGCGCAGAAGATGCACGCACCAGCAAAGCACATGTGTGAATGGCCGGGCACATGCGTGGCCAAGGCATTTGTGCTCACATTTGCGAACCGGTAGGGAAAGTAAGTAAATACCATCCCTGCAGACAACACACTGTTCAATTGAAATTGGAACTTTTTGTATGTTAAAATAAATAAAATAAAAACTTACACACACAAAAAAAAACCTAACCCAACTCATGATTACAGAACTGTAGAGTTGCCCCGTACCTTTATTTCTCTATATTGGTCTACAATTTAGACCAATTCAAATCAAGTTAAAACTGATTCTGGAATGAAGGAAAAACTGTATTGCTTTTAATGTCTGCATCCTAATATTTCAATTGTCAAGTCAACTTGATTCCATGGTCAACTTGAAAAGAAGTGCAATAACTCCTACTTTTTAAAGAAATGTAAATGGAGAGAAAGTTCTAAAACTTTCTATGTTTTTAGATGATTTTGGGAGCCTGGAGAAGTTGTTAGGAAATGGTCATTGCCTAACTAGTTGGCCAGGTAATATATAATCCAACATTGTATGTTTGTATTGTGTAAATGTATTATGTTGCTTTAAGAACATTGATGAGTCATTCTGCATCCTGATTGGATGAGCCAATGTATTTAACGAGAGCTTAATTGTGGTTAGTGTGAACACTACACCATTTTTTTAAAAATTTGATTTATATGCCGCCCTTCTCCGGAGACTCAGGGCGGCTTACAATGTGCTCAGCAATAGCCTTCATCCTTTTGTATATTTATACAAAGTCAGCTTATTGCCCCCACAACTGGGTCCTCAATTTACCTACCTTAGAAAGGATGGAAGGCTGAGTCAACCTTGAGCCTTGGCGAGATTCGAACCTGCAGTAATTGCAGACAGTTGGTCTTAATAACCAGCTTAATAACAGGGTGCCTTAGACCACTGTACTACCAAGGCTCTTGGTAGTATTTTTACCTGCTACTATGTATATTTTTACCTGCTACTATGCTGTAACTATTTTTGATCTCTCTAAATGGTCATTGTTTGATCATGCTTTATTTATTACTGTTTCCTGATATTTATTGAACTGTTTTATATTGTTCCTGAATGTTCCTGAATGTTCCTGAATGTTTATATTGTTCCTGAATGTTCCTTGTATTTTTCTACAAACTGGTAAGAAGATGTGATATCCCTGGATTGATTTTATATTCCACTTTATATGGCTAAGACTTGGATTGTTAAAAGACTATGAACTCGCTTTACCTTTAAAGTAAAATACTATAAAACCAGTTTGTCTGCATGTTATTCACAATTACTCTCAAACCCGTTTCCGTGCGTAAAAACTTCTGATGGTACTCTGCTTTATGAACCATGACTCTGGTGGTGACACAACAATATCCTTAACAGAAGTGATCCTTTTTTCCCATTCTCTTCCATTTGAACATTGAGTTCCTCTTATACTTTGCTGAACATAAAAGAGCTGTGAAATTAACATCGGATCGTTATTTGTTATTCATAAAATATGTATAAAAATTACTCTCAAGTGTATGTGTTAGTGAGCAAGTTGTTCCATTATCACATGATGGAACAAATAAACAGATTGTAGGTGGCCTGGGTCAGACAGATTGATTAGAAGACATTTCATTAGATGATGGTTGCTAAAATTCACTGAAACACTCTTTCTTTACAATCACTCATAGACTCATCGCGTGACAGATCATTTTTCTTCTCCTCTAATTACTTGAAAAATAGACACAGAACAATTTCCCTCGTCTGTCTCCATTTGCTGGATCTCTGCCATTTTTCATTCATTTAACAATTTCTTTTCTCCCTGTGAATTTGGTGCCTGAATTTCAATAAGTTATTTGTCTAAGCATTGGGATGGAATAGAAATATTATGCGCAACCATCAATTCGGAGGAGATGACTTAATAGTTTGGCTTGTGATGTGTGCAGGGCGTACATATGCTACAAAGGAATTTTTCAAACTTATTGCTAATGTTTTCAAATTCAGATGACTGAAGGCAACGGCAAATTATACTGTAGATCTAAGTATCATTCTCAAAACTCTAGGATATACTGTATGGTAGCTTAGTATCAACTTCAGCAGAGAGGAAAAATAAATAAGAAAATAACAATAAGAAAAATAAATCTGGTAGACGAAGAAATATCCAAAGAGAATTGAAACATTACAAAGAACATTTGTTTCCGAAATGGGAAATATTTAAAACACTGTTCTATCAAGCACACGATTTCACATTGAGTGTGATTTTTGCATTCTCTATATCTAGTACATAATACGAAATGATCTCATCTTGTTTGTGGGAGTTATAATAAGTAGAGGCAGCCAAAGCTACATTGATGGAAATCATATTCTATAGCAACAAAGACTAGCTCGAGTATTTGAGTCATCTTAGTCACAAAACCCTGTGCAAAATAAATGAATGAATCTATAATTGTATTCATTTTTTTTATTTTATAGTTTTTATAGCCCGTCCAACTTGAAAGTTTTCAAGCAAGTTACAAGAAGAAATCATAAACACCACAATAAAATCAATCAAAAGAAGACGAGCAGCAATAATTTATTTATTTATTTTTTTATTGGTTCGATTTATATGCCACCTTTTTCCGGAGACTCAGGGCGGCTTACAATGCGTTAAGCAATAGCCTTCATACTTTTGTATATACCTGCTTAATAGGGCTTTCGCCCCCCCCCCCCCAAGCGGTGTTCTTTTTTATACAAAGTCAGCTTATTGCCCCCACAATCCGGGTCCTCATTTTACCTACCTCGAAAGGATGGAAGGCTGAGTCAACCTTGAGCCTGGTGAGATTCAAACTTGTAGTAATTGCAGGCAGCTGGTGCTACTTAACAGTGCTTTAGTCTGCTGCGCCACCAAGGCTCTTTAAATCAACAATAAGAATTCAGCATTTCCCTAGACCAGAGGTAGGGAAGGATTGCCCTTTTATGACTTGTGGTCTTCAACTTCACTGGGCCTACAATATGGGTGTTAAACTTGCTTCGTCATGGTGTCATCACATGACGTATCATGAATTTTTCCCCCTTCGCTAAACCGGACGTGGGCGTGGCCAGCGCATGATGCATCCAGCTTGCGGGCCGTGAGTTTGACACCCCTGATCTACAAGGAGAAAGCCTTAGAAATAAAAGTAGCTTAATTTGACCAGAATTGGGTCACTGATAAAGGAAATTAAGTCCTGAGTATTAACTGGCTCCAGTTTCCAAGATACAGCTTCAGGTCAACATTGCATCAAAATAATTCCAAATTACAAGGGGGATGTACGATTATGCTCCGTAGCTTTTCTGCAAAATGTGATATAGCAACGAGAATGGTGCCACACCAATCATTATATATTGATCTTTTTGTTGATATCTGTTGTGGCTTTGTTGCCTGAGCCTGGGCTATCGACAGATGCAGACTCTGAGAGTGAGGGAGAGGAGTTGGTAAGGCCTCCCTCTCCAGGACCCTCCTCTCTGGCAATGCCTCCGGAGGACACCGAAGGCCAAACGATAGGCTCAGAGCCAAGCACGTCCCCGCAGCCACAGGTGGATAGCAATGAAGAAGATAAGTGCTGGCTGGAACCTCGGCAGAGGCGCAGGGAGAAGCGTGCGCAGCAGAGGGGAAGGCGTGCCAGAGATTAGCTGAGTCACTGGACCACACCACACAGGGTATAAATGTGGGTGTGGTGGCCGGTTCAGTTTGTGACAAACAAAAACTAGAAATAATCCATGAACTCTGCATTACTGGACTTTGCCTGCTTTATCAGACTGCATTTGGATTAATCCTTGTATTGTTGAAACTCTGCCTGTTTTATCAGAATGCTTGCAGTCTAATCTTTGTTTTGTGTGAGTAAAGTCTGAATTGGCAGCTAGCCACTGGGTTGCTGCCAGCTTTATCTTCAAAGAGTTTTTTTTTTTTAATAAAAAAGTTTTTATTTTCTAATCAGACAAGTATACAATATAAACAGTCATTCAAACTATCATCAAGAAAAAGAAAAAAAAATCAATCCTTGGTAATCTCAATCTTCAACCCCTCCTCACCACCCCCCCACCCCCGACTTCCCAGAACAGAAAACAGGGCATAGGTTTCACCAAACATTCGCTAAAATAAACTAACAAACTGCAAGATTTAATAACTCCCAAGACCCCTTAACTCCCCTTTTACAATTTCATCAACCTCCCTTTTTATAAACTCACAATAGCGTATAATCCAATAACTCTAAGAGTTTTAAAACCATTAACAAATATTAAACATTCAAACCTTAAAAATTCTCTTAATATATCAGTAAAGTATTCAATTGATTTACAAAAACATTTTTCCCCCTCCTACTTTTCTCAAAGTTCAGATATTTTAAAATCTCATAACAAAAAATAAACCTTAGATATTAGTAGTTAAATTTCTTCATTTTTTAAGTTCCTAAATTTTCCTCTTTCATTATTCCTCCCTCATCAACATAATTAACCATTAATACATACCCCTCAGTAATTATAACACCTAAAACATAATCATTTTTTACCATGAGTAGAACAACTCTAAGAATTTTAAAGCCATTAACAAATATTAAACATTCAAACCTTAAAAATTCTCTTAATATATCAGTAAAATATTCAATTCATTTGCAAAAACATTTTTCCCCTCCTACTTTTCTCAAAGTTCAGATATTTTAAAATCTCATAACCAAAAATAAACCTTAGATATTCAGTAGTTAAATTTCTACATTTTTTAAGTTCCTAAATTTTCCCCCTTCATTATTCCTCCCTCCAGCTTTTAGAATTTTGAATTTCAAAGAGTTTTGTCGTGTGCCTTATTAACTCTGAGCCGTCTGTGGGGATGCGTGTGTGGTACGGGGACAGAACAATATCAATAACATAACTTTCCATTCATTTATTGGTTTTTCAAGTAACATTTTTATGCTTTTTGCATGAAAGACTGACAGCTCTAACATCAGATTAAATGACAAGGTTCCATCTTTATTCGGTATCTAAATTGCGCTTTTTGGCTTTTCTCTGTGGACTGCAGTAGGACCGTCCCTGGGGAGATTCCAGCAGTAATCGGCACACAAGGACAGACTCGGTTTCCTTTGGTAGCTTTTCTCCATGCCTGCAATATCCTGGTGGAATCTCTCCCCATGCTCATCACTCACTGCCCCACAGTTCAAAGGGAAATCATCTAAATACGAGCATAAGAAGTGAATTTTCAGTGACCTATTTGCACCAAGTGCTTTGTAACATGGTTTTCATAGTCATCTGCCTTGCTGTTCTCAAAGTGAAGATAAATGTATATACTTCACATGTGGTACTTTTCATTCTACTGTACTTTGTCGAGAAGTTATTAAGCATCATGGTCATTAGACAGCTCTCTCTCTCTTGTAGGCAAATATACTCACCTGTGTATAAATCTTTATTGTGAAATATCTTGAAAACTTTAGCCAACCAGCATCTTTATCACCTGTTTTCTAATTCATCTAATCAAAATATGTAAAATTAATACATTTTATCTCAGAGATCGATAATCTATCGGTATCTCTCTCTCTCCCTCTCCCTCTCTCTTTCTCTCTTTCTATCTACCAGTATCTATCTATCTATCTTTCTTTCTTTCTTTCTTTCTTTCTTTCTTTCTTTCTTTCTTTCTCTCTCTCTCTCTCTCTCTCTCTCTCTCTCTCATCTCTCATCTACCTATCTATCTATCTACCTATCTATCTATCTATCTATCTACCTATCTATCTATCTATCTATCTATCTATCTATCTATCTATCATCTATCTATCTATCTATCTATCTATCTATCTATCTATCTATCTATTGGTATCTATCTATCTATCTATCTATCTATCTCTATTTCTCTATTTCTCTCTCTCTCTCATCTATGTATTTCTCATCTACCAATCTCTCTCTCTCTCTGTGTATCTATCTATCTATCTATCTATCTATCTATCTATCTATCTATCTATCTGTATGTATCTATCTCTATTTCTCACTCTCTCTCTCTCCTATCTATCTATCTACTCACCAATCTCTCTGTCTCTCTGTATAACAACTTCAGATATCCTGTCATTAAAAGCTCATAGTCACTTCCTGAACTCTAGAACTCTCTGAGATCAATGCTCTTTCTTCCATCCTAGAATCGATTTGGGTCAAAAAGAGCACTTTTGGATGCTGAGCAAATGACCCGGAAACCTGGTGAAGCTTTGGTGAAGCTTATTTATTAACAGTGGATGTTTACTCACCATGGCTAATAATCGAATCTTGTTAGACAAACTGAGCTAGCATTAAGGCTGCCTTCACCTCTCCCTGTCTAGTTAGAGAAAGCAACCCACAGTTCCTTGATGATTGTCATATGTGATATAAGATCCTGGTTGAATTTCTTTCCTTCCTTCCTTCCTTCCTTCCTTCCTTCCTTCCTTCCTTCCTTCCTTCCTTCTTTCTTTCTTTCTTTCTTTCTTTCTTTCTTTCTTTCATTCTTCCTTCCTTCCTTCCCTCCCTCCCTCCTTCCTTCCTTCCTTCCATTCTTCCTTCCTTTCTTTCTTTTTCTTTTTTGGTCATTCCTCCTTCATGCCTCCCTTCAGGCCATTTTACGTTGCCTGGACATGGTTTCATTAGCGCTCATTATAAGTTATTCTGGTCCCCAGTTATAATTTGATAGAGGCAGTACACATTTGCACAGAGGCCTTTTCCTGATTTTCTGATTCCATTTTTGACATGCTAAGAGCATTTCTATGGAAAATATATGATGAGGGTTATTATTTTAATCGGAAAACTTGTCCGCCCCCCACTGCAGACCTCCCTCAATGAATAAATGACATTACTTTTTGCTTGACATCTACCAGTTCTGTAAAACTAGCACTTGTAATGTTAAAATTGCCAGCTTGGCTTTAGCAAAAGATAAAAACATTTATATAATCAAGAGCTTTTTTTTAAGTGTCTGCTTTCTCTCATCTCAAGAAAATCTCTCTCTCTCTCCCTGCCTCCCTCTCTCCCCCTCCCTCCCTCCTCCCTCTCTCTCCCTCCCTCTCTCTCCCTCCCTCTCTCCCTCCCTCTCCCTCTCTCTCCCTCCCTCCCTCCCACTCTCCCTCTCTCTCTCCCTCCCTCCCTCCCTCTTCTTTCTCTCTGTGTCTATCATTGTCTAACCAATTTTGGCACCCTCATAAAGTACATCCGATGAAAAAATATTTGAACATTACTCTGATTAAAACATAGATACAGAAATGAAGCTTTCACATCAAGGTTCATTAGGTCGGAAAAGTTGGTTAATGTGCTGTTTTGCTTCTCGTTATCTTGAAAGTAAATCCAAGTTACTTTTCTAACTTCCTAAATGTTTTCTAAGCTAAAAGCGACACAGATCTACTATATGATATTCTTACAATACAGATCATCCAGTTCAAGTCACCAAGCGAGACTTCTTCATGCTTCCTTTCAGATGTCGCCGTTATTATTTTTAACCACACTTTAAAAGTCTCCTATAAACAGTTGTAATGTACTAGCATGATCCATGGAAATAAGCTATGACTAAGTCTGAATGATAAACTGAATGTGAGAACAAAATTAACATTCTTAAACATTTCCTATGCAACCAGGATTGATTAGGGTGTCCAAGTTATTAAATAATCTTCAGGCATGAAATTTCTTGGGTAGTTTCTTTCAGTGGACATTCATTTAATCATTTGTCCTGCCTGAAAACATCTTAGCGTCCAAGTCCAGAAGACAAAAATGAGCAATTTGCACAATGTTTTACAACATATAATTTAAGAAAGTGAGAATCTAAGGAGGACAGGACAGTTCTGGTCACCATAATCCCCAGGGATGAAATGCTACCGGTTCAGGCTGATTCACCTGAACCGGTAGTAAAAATTGCTTTAAAAAAGTAAAAAAAAAAAAAGGTTCCAACAATCAGCTGTGACAATCAGCTGTGTCCATGATCACCGGAACCCTTTTTTTTTACTTTTTAAAGCATTTTTTAACTAAAAAAGTTAAAAAAAAGTTCTGACGATCAGCTGTGACAATCAGCTGTGTCCGCGATTGTCAGAACCATTTTTTTTATTTTTTAAAGCATTTTTTACTACCTAGTTGCCCGAACGAGTAGTTTAAAAATGCTTTTAAAAAGTTTTTTAAAAGGTTCCGACGATCAGCTGTGACAATCAGCTGTGTCCACGATCATCAGAACCTTTTTTAAAAACTTTTTTAGCATTTTTTATCAAAAAAAAAGTTTAAAAAAGTTCTGACATCAGCTGTGACAATCAGCTGTGTCAGCAATTGTCGGAACCTTTTTTAAAAACCTTTTAAAGCATATTTTTACTACCTATTTGCCTGAACCAGTAGTTAAAAAATGCTTTAAAAAAGTTTTTTTAAAAAAGGTTCCAACGATTGCAGACACAGCTGATTGTCACAGTTGATCGTCAGAACTTTTTAAAAACTTTTTTTAGTTAAAAAAAATGCTTAAAAAGTAAAAAAAAAAAAAGTTGGCCACACCCACCCAGTCACATGACACACCCCCACCAAGCCACGCCCACCAAGCCATGCCCACAGAACCAGTAGGGAAAGTTTTTGAATTTAACCACTGATAACCCCCCCCAAAAATGCTGAAGCACTAGAAAGAGCACAGAGAAGATCCCCCACAAAGATGATAAGAGGTCTTATTTTTGCTAATTAGATAGTTTTGTTGTTATAGAAAGGGCTAGTATATACTATTGTGTAAAAGTAAAAAAGTTGAGTTTGTAATGTTATTATCTTCTACTGTGCCAAACAGAATTGGAAGTCGATGCCCTTTTCTTTCTTTTTTCCCCCCTCTCTACCTCCTATTTTATTTTCTTTCCTTCTTTCCCCCTCCTACTTTTTTTTGTTACTTTTTATTTCCCTTTGTATTTTATATTTTGATAAACCAATAAAAATGTAATAAACAAAGATAGTAACGGATCTGGAGGCTGAAACTTACGTTGACTGTTGAGGGAACTAGCTATGTCTAGTCTACTGAAGTGAAGGATTAAGGCATATGATAGCTCTCTTCATAGACTTGAGGGGCTGCCACAGAAAAGAGAGCAGAACTTCGTTAGATGGAGATCCAGCTTGGAACTAAGGAGGAATTTCCTGACAGAACCTGGGACATTTGCAACTATCAGAAAAAGGAATTGATTGCCAAGCATCTGAATATTGATCACATGATCATGGGGATGCTGCAATGGTCGTAAGTGCGAAAAATGGTTATAAGTTGCTTTTTTCCAGTGCCTTTGTCACTCAATGAACTGTTACATATTTCTATCCTTTAAATATCCTATCACAGTCTTACCAGTACTTTAGCCAATCTGAGTTATACCAGTAACAGTAATAGAGTTGGAAGGGACCTTCGAGGTCATCTAGTCCAACCCCCTGCTCACGCAGGAAACCTGTGCTAGGGATTCGAACCACCGAACTGTCAACCTTTCTGATTGATAAGCTCAGTGTCTTAGCCACTGAGCCACCTAGTCAGGCTCAGTTGCCAGAGTTGCCACATTTTGGTTTGCTTTAAATGAAGCCATGTCGTGGGTCCCTCGGAGATTTGGATGGTCCCCACTCTGTGGGTGTTTTGAAAGGCATTGAGCACCTGGCTCTTCGCCCAGGTCTTTGGTGAAGGGCCTTTTCGATTATGGGGGTTACTTTGCCATTCTTGTCAACCATTTGTAAATCAACCAGAATTGCTGGGTGACAAATAATAATAGCAATAGCCCTTAGACTTATATACCACTTCACAGTGCTTTTATAGCCCTCTCTAAGTGGTTTACAGAGTCAGCCTCTTGCCCCCAACAATCTGGGTCCATTTTACCCACTTTGGAAGGAGGATAGGCTGAGTCAACCTTGAGCTGGGATGGATGGATGGATGAATGGATGGATGGATGGATAGGGAAGGGAAGGGAAGGGAGGGAGGGAGGGAGGGAGGGAGGAAGGATGGAAGGAAGGAAGGAAGGAAGGAAGGAAGGAAGGAAGGAAGGAAGGAAGGAAGGAAGGAATAGCCCTTAGACTTATATACAGCTTCATAGTGCTTTACAGCCCTCTCTAAGCGGTTTACAGAGTCAACCTATTGCCCCCCAACAATCTGGGTCCATTTTACCCACTTCGGAAGGAGGATAGGCTGAGTCAACCTTGAGCTGGGATGGATGTATGGATGAATGGATGGATGGATGGATGGATAGGGAAGGGAAGGGAAGGGAGGGAGGAAATGGGAGGGAGGGCGGAAGGAAGGAAGGAAGGAAGAAGGAAGGTATAGCCCTTAGACTTATATACAGCTTCACAGTGCTTTACAGCCCTCTCTAAGCGGTTTACAGAATCAGCTTCTTGCCCCCAACAATCTGGGTCCATTTTACCCACGTCGGAAGGAGGATAGACTGAGTCAACCTTGAGCTGGGATGGATGGATGGATGGATGAATGGATAGGGAAGGGAAGGGTGGAATATATATAGATAATAAGATTTAGAGTCTATTGCTGGGCGAGCCCTGTGCAGGCCTAAACAGAGCATCAGAGGGGTGTTCCCCGTCCCTCAGAACCTCCATTTTGGCTGGCAAAGTGCCAGACAAATGTTGCAGAGCCTCTGCAGTTGTTTGTAAGGCTGAACAACTGCTTTGGTTCTGCAAGATTTGTAGTTTCGGGACTTGTTCGTGAACACGAGGAGGCACTGATTGCGAATCTTGGAACGCTCGTAATCCAGGGATTACCTGTATTTGCCTTTGTCCATGATCGACAAAATCATTGTCAGTTCATCATAAAAGAGAGCTTTACTTGGAAAGCTTCCATCCTCAAACAACATCTGCCTATCCCTGGTCACTGAGAAGGACTCGGTAGATGGATAAAAATGCCAAATCCAACAGATCTAACATCTGGATAACTGTGTCATCATCAGCGTCACCATAATACCAAAATTATTACTCGGGCAGATTTTAATGGGCTGAAAAACCTGCTTTGTGAAAAACTGATATAACGAAAAGAACAGGAAACATCTGTTTTAGCCCATTATCTGATGCCTATAAACTTTTTATCCAAACCATTGACCTCCCTGGTCCCCATTTCTCTCATTCTTCATGAATATGGTAATCGTTTGTGGAAAGCCTCAGTGAAGGAGTA